AAACCCTGCCTGTGATCGGCTCCCCTTGGGCAATCAGCACCTCGGGGCACGTGCAGAGCGGCTGGGGCGTGTAGAGGGTGGTGTGCGTTTTCAGAGGTTAACGAGGAGGAGGGTTATGGGGAATTAATGCTCAGTACGCTTCTGAAGTATTTCATTTTCTTAAGCCGTGAGCATGTATTGAAATCAGAAAAATCCTGCTTTATAGAAGCCAGCTCTGGGGTGATGAGACATATCTTAATTTAAAGCCGGTTTGGGTTCATGAAAGATGCTCACAGTGAAAGTTTGGCTAGACCTAGGGAAGGACAGAAGAAACCAAATGGCCTGTAATGCTCCCACCAGAGAAAATGACCCCATGCCGTTACTAAGGCGTGGCCAGGGAGGGTCCCTTGGGTGGGCTTCTGCCACCTGACACCCAGGGCAGGGGGTCTCATAGTGTGGGGAGCAGCAGAGCTGTCCTGAGGCTGCGGGGGTGGTGTCAGCCCCAACGTTGATGGTGTTCGCCTACGTAACTAGTCTGGCTTTCTCTGGATCTCAGATTTAGAGAATCAATGAAGAAAGGTACTGACTTTGAGTTTGTTGCATAACTCAAAGCCTCCAAATTAGCGTTCTCATTATACGACTGGTAAAGGATGACGGGATAGCCGGCTCTCCTGGTGCTAGAAATAGCCATGTGAGGGGAAGGAATCACGTTTGAGCTGTGAGTAGAGAAGCCTGTGAAAGCCAGAAGGATCTGCTTTGCAGCTGGCTTTGCAGGATGTCCCCAAATGAAGTGGTGTGGCCAAGTCTGTGACTTTCAGACTGCTTTCAGGGACAAGGGAGGACTCTGATCTGAAGTCGGGCTTTCCTGATTATGCCGCCTGAGAAAGGCCTTCCCCTTGATTTTCGGTTTTTGGTTTTTGGGTTTTGGCTGCGCCGTGCAGCTTGTGGGATCCTCGTTCCCCGACCGGTGATTGAACCCCGGGCCCATGGCAGTGAAAGCACCGAGTTCTAACCACTGGACCTCCAGGGAATTCCCATTCATATTTGATTTGAAGGAAAGTGGCGGCCCTCTGAACCCCTGGATCCACTTCCCAGGTTCCTTATGGCCATACCATCTGAGATGTGGCAGAAGCAGGCATGGTTCCCATGGCAACAGTCCTAGAACTAGGCCCTGCCTTGGGTCTCTCAAGGAGCAAAAGCATTTCATCCCCGTGTACCAAGCCGGCCTCTGTGCACATTCAGACAGTCTCATGAGCTGAGTGGGTCAGACCCCTAACAGTGAGTGAGACGCAGCAATGAGGTGGCAACAGAGTGTTTCCAAAGTGGCCTCTGTTGTTTCCATTGCCTAAAACGGTGAGCTTTCCTGTTTTCCAACATCTCACCCATGTGTTAAGTGCCACCCACGGTGGAGACTTGGTGTTTCCTAATCTGACCTTGTTACAGATTACGGCTGCGAAGTTTAGTGATCCAAAGCATGACGCAGGAGTCAGACATAGGCTGATTCCTGGCTCTGAGGCTTAACAGCTGTGGGAACTTTGGCAAATGGCATCTGCAAAGGTTTCCTCACTTGCAAAATGGGACTCTCTCTCCCTTACTGTTAATGTTGCTTCATGTTTTTTGAGTTTTTTATTAATTTATTTTAAAAAATTTTATCGGAGTGTAATTGATTTACAGTGTTGTGTTAGTTTCAGGTGTACAGCAAAGTGATTCAGTTATACATATACATATATTCATTCTTTTTCAGATTCTTTTCTCATATCCTTTATCACAGAACATTGAGTAGAGTTCCCTGTGCTATACAGTAGGTCCCTGTTGGTTATCTATCTTATATATAGTAATGTGTGTATGTTAATCCCAAGCTCCTGATTTATCCCTCCCCTCCACGTTTCTCCTTTGGTAACCATAAGTTTGTCTTTGATATCTGTAAGTCTGTTTCTGTTTTGTAAATAAGTTCATTTGTATCTTTTTTTTTTTTTTTTGTGGTACGCGGGCCTCTCACTGTTGTGGCCTCTCCCATTGTGGAGCACAGGCTCCGGACGCGCAGGCTCAGCGACCATGGCTCACGGGCCCAGCCGCTCCACGGCATGTGGGATCTTCCCGGACCAGGGCACGAACCTGTGTCCCCTGCATTGGCAGGCGGACTCTCAACCACTGCGCCACCAGGGAAGCCCTGTATCATTTTTTTAAAATTAGATTCCACATATGAGTGATATCGTATGATAGTTGTCTTGCTCTGCCTGACTTCACTTAGTAGGAAGTGAATTTCTAGGTCCATCCATGTTGCTGCAAATGGTATTATTTCATGTTTTTTTTAATGACTGAGTAATATTCCATTGTATATATATACCACATCTTCTTTATCCATTCCTCTGTCGATGGACATTTAGGTTGCTTCCATGTCTTGGCTATCATAAATAGTGTTGCAATGAACTTTGGGGTGCATGTAGCTTTTTGAATTAGTTTTGTCTAGATATATGCCCAGGAGTGGGATTGCTGGTTCATATGGTAGTTCTATTTTTAGTTCTTTAAGGAACCTCCGTACTGTTCTCCATAGTGGCTGTATCAATTTACATTCCCACCAACAGCATAGTAGGGTTCCCTTTTCTCCACACCCTCTCTAGCATTTATTGTTTGTAGACTTTTGATGATGGCCATTCTGACTGGTGTGGGGTGATACCTCATAATGTTGCTTCATTTAATCCTAAGTGTCCAATATTCCTGGTATGTAATAAACACATTTTGGCCATTGCTGTCTGAAATAGGCCCATAATACTATCCTGCTCCTAATTTATATTGCCATATGTCTTACCTCTCGGAGATGTAGCATATAGCTCCTTATTTAAACCCAAATCTCGGGTTGCAACTGATCATCCTTTTGACCTTGGCTATTACAGCAACTGGAAAACTCTTTTGCGATGGTGTTTTCAAGGGTGTCATGATGAATAGCAATGATTTACCTGTGGGTCACTGGGTAAAAAGCAACTCTTTCTTTCCTGATGGGGCAGGATTGGAGATGACTTTAAAGTAGATGAAGGGATGGGACATGGTTACTCTCTGGCCTGAGCCTCCAGGGCTGAGATTGTCCTGCAGCATCATTCTTTTCCTCTTCCTGATGTGCTGGCTTCTGGTGTATTGTTGGAGGTCAGTCTACCTCCAGCTTGAACTTTTAACTGAATTAATCTAAAGCCTGAGATTGTCTCAAGCCAACTTATACGTGGTGCTTCTCCTGGTAAATACACAGCAATGGAAGGGCTATGGATGTCACCGAGGCTCCTTGACTCTCTGGGGGTCGGGGTGGTGGAGGTGACCAGTGTGACTTTGTTAACGGAATGTTTAGAGCTTCGCAAATGTTCCTGTGACCCATTGTGTGACCCATTGTGTCACTCTCCACCTCTCCAGATGAGATGTGCTGTGGGGAGGGAGCAACTTGGTCAATTCTGGAAGTAATTTGCATTTCCCACTCTCAGATTTGCACACATTGTCAGCTATTCTTGCCCAAGCTCCTAAAGAGACTAATGCCTTAGAACAAGCAAAGTCACAGCAGTGAAGCCTCAGCTCTGAGGCTCAGCTGACTTGCTCTCCTATCTGTCTGGGGCTGGTGGTGCTTCTTTTTATGGATTTGTCCCTGGCATGGTAGCCGCTGTTAACCGGTAGTGCCTCTGAGACTGTGCTTCTGTTGTTCTGTCTCAAATTCCCTCCTTTCCCTGGTCCCTTGCAGGCTCTTTGTTTTCTTGGACCCTAATACACAGGTCACCAAGACTCAATTCTTGTTCTGTTCTCAGATAGAGTTCCTCTTCTCTCTCCTTGGCTCTCTCCTCACAGAATTCGCCAAGTTGTCTACACCGTCCCATCCAAATTGATATGTCTAAATTAGTCTTTCCTACCAAAATTATTCCCAGCTGCTCTACTCGCAAGAAGAGAGTCTGTTGGTCATCTTTATCCAGTTTTCTCTTTGGTAGAATGTAGTCTGGCCCATCCTGTATACTTAGAAACAGATGAATATTCATTGCATGCTTGTAAGAAAGGTTATTCCCTGCTGCCCTGTAGGAAGTCCAAACTTGCCCTGATCTGAATAACCTCCTCTAATGGAGGGCTAACTCCCTTTGTGAGCTTATCGCTCACCACCCTCTTCTAACAAATATTTGAGTACCTACTTACTACATGCCATGCATTGTGAAGGGGCTGAGGAATCATAACTAAGACACGCATGGTCCCCTTGTCCTCGGGAGTATGGAGGGGAAGATGCACTAACAAGAAAATATTGAGTTGTGGTAAAAGCTATGGAGAAAATGAAACAGACAGATTGGGAAGATACTTAGCTTCTTAGACAGGAAAGAATCGTTGGGTAAAAGTGGGCTGAGGCCAGCTCACGTAGGGTGGGCATCATGGTGAACTTGAGTTTTCTTCTAAGATCAGCCACTAGAGGGTGGGAAAAAAGTGGGGGACACTACATGGTCAGTTTCTTTTTAAAAGATCACATGGCTTTGTGTAGAGAACAGATTGGGATAAGGCAATGGTAGAAGCAAGGAGTAGAGTTTGGAGGCAGTTGCCATAGTGTGGGTGAAAGGTGATGGTGGGCTGGACCAGGGTGGAGGAAGTCCTCTAAAAAATTAGGAGTGGGACATACTTGAGACAGTCCTGTACTAATGTGCTGGTGGATTGGATGTAGGAGAAGAGGACCATCTTCCTGTCATAGCCTGGTTGGGCTCCTCAGCATCCTGTACATATCCTCTGTACAGAACTCCTTGGACCCAGCCACATGGAAGGGTTCTGTGCTTTCCTTCCAGCCTACCCTAGCCATCAAAAGCCCAGCTCAAGCCAAACTGCCCCTGAAAAGGTATCCCTTACTCCTGTAGCCCAGGGCTGGTCCCCTCTGAGTTCCCATGATGCTCATTGCCTGTTGAATTGGCATGTGATGCCTGTGGATGCTGCTCTCTGTTCCACCGTGGGTCCTTTAAGGGCTTATAGCCTGGATGGCTTTTACATAGTAACCACATACTGGGCACTGAAAATCTCTTTGGAACTGTCCTACCTACAGGTGCTTTACTTCTCCTAGTCAATATGCCGACTTTAGAAGCTCCGGAAGAGAGGCTGAGAAAATTTAAGTATCGTGGCAAAGATGCATCTGTGAGTATGAAGCAATACCTTACTCTATCAAGGATGGGCGCAGTAAAAAGCACATGGTTGAAATGCATTAAAAATAGTGGAGGGCTTCCCTGGTGGTGCAGTGGTTGAGAGTCCACCTGCCGATGCAGGGGACGTGGGTTCGTGCCCCGGTCCGGGAAGATCCCACATGCCGCGGAGCGGCTGGGCCCATGAGCCATGGCCTCTGGACCTGCACATCCGGAGCCTGTGCTCAGCAACGGGAGAGGCCACAACAGTGAGAGGCCCGCGTACTGCAAAAAAAAAAAAAAAAAGAAAAAAGAAAAAGAATTGTGGAGAGTGGGCTAGATGGGGTGAACAAGCAAGTATAGCAGAATGTTCATTGTGGGTAAGTGCATGGATGTTCATTGAATAATCCTCTTAACTTTTCTGTATATCTGAAAATCTCATACTAAAATATTGAAGGTGGGGAGGATCAAACCTCATGGACTTGGTCGGACAACTGTAGACTCAGATCAAGGTCTCCATGTGATCTTGAAACTATTGAACTTCAGAGCCTCAGTTTCTTCATCTATAAAACAGGGCTGATACCTACCTCTTAGGACCTGGGTAGCATCATCAAGTACCTGGTATATAGATGCTTACCTGCAGCTCTGCATGTCAAGGGGGCTTACCAAGGAGCTAAGATGTTGGGAATACAGGTACCAACCAGCATGCCTTGAAGAGAAATAGGACTCAGAGGTGAAAAGTCCAGACTGCTCTCTCTACTGGGATGAGCACGAGGGCTGGGCCAGGGAGGCTGTGCTGTGTGTGAATCTCTCATTCAGCTTCTCTGGTCTCCAAGTTTTCTGTCTAGCTCTGTGTCCTATATCTGTGTATCTTGACTGACATATCAAGTTGGCTACGCCTTGGGAATCTGAAAGGCAGCCGAGGATAAGGAGAGCACAAGGGCATAGCCACCCAGTTGAACACCGTCCAAAGCCAAATCCCTCTTACTTACACCCTTTCCAACAAGCTTGGCTGTCTGGCTTCCAAGACCACCGCAGATTAAAGGAAACCAATTAGAACAAAGAAATCAAACCCTCTATGGGGACAGCAGCAGGAAGGGCCAGGAAATGAGAAGGTAGAAGCCAAAGGTACCAAATTCTCTATGGGGAAGGGCCGCTTAGTGATGGGAGCAACATGACAACTGGCTCCATAGGCCCCCAGTGTGTCCCCACCTTTCCGGATAACACCACAATGACCCTATTTTCTTTTCTTTTTTTTTTTTTGGCTGTGCCGCATGGCTTGCAGGATCTTAGTTCCACGACCAGGGATTGAACCCCGGTCCCCAGCAGTGAAAGCACCAAGTCCTAACCACTGGACAACCAGGGAATTCCCATTGACCCTAGTTTCAAGCAAGGCTCAAATAGCTCCTTTAAGGAACCAGAAGTATCTAATATACACTGACTTCCTTATAATTAATATTTTAAAGTCTTCAACCCAAAACTCATCTATCCATAAAGATTAGGTCATTTCCCCAGGATTCTCAATACTGTAAGGTCTGAGTTTTGCCTGATAAAAGAAGAAAAGGGGGGTTTGTTTTTAGAATTTCCATCTTCCTCAGTCTGGTGTACAAGTAAAACTCTTGGGATTGGATCAAGGTTTGAATGACTTATAGGCTGATTCCCAACAGTGGAAATGGTCAAGGACACCTGGAGCTGGGGTGCTCCCTTCAGTTCCCTGACCTACCTGGGTGCCCACAGCTAGAAGGCACAGGCCTGCTTCTCTGGAAGTAATCAGCACCAATGAAGATGTGCTCAGATTCAGGGCAATGGGATGCTTTGCTCAGAGGTCTCTACACCTGAGAATCCTGGCTGGCCAATGGGTGTAAATGGTCTTCCTTCACTTTGAGAGGAAGATTGATGATCTCTCTAGAGGTGGTAGAGGAGGAGAAAGAAGCAGAGGAGGCTAACTGAGCTGACTATTGACTAGCTGTGTGATCTGAACTCTTCCAGCCTGTTGCATCTGTAAAAGTGAAATTGGATGCTTTGAAGTGTGCTCTAAAGGCTAAACAGGGTGACAACCTGACTTCCCAGCTCTAAGGGCTCCCTTTCTTTTCCTCATTAGATGAGGCGGCAGCAGAGGATAGCAGTCAGCCTGGAGCTCCGGAAAGCCAAGAAGGATGAGCAGTCCTTGAAGAGGAGAAACATCACGGATGTCTCCCCTGACGCTTCTGAGCAACAGACCAAACGGGTACGTTGGGAACATGGCATTTAGAGCAGTTGGGTATAAAATACATCCTTAGTAAGTTTCTCTGCGTTGAAAATGTTTGAGTCAGAACTTGCAAGCTCTAATGGAGTTCCTTTAAGGAAAGGGGTGGAGAGATGGTGATTAGAACTAAACTGGTGTTTTCAGAAAGCTAAGTGTCATTAGCTTTGTGGCCGTGAGTCTGGGATCTATGTTCTAACAGGGGGTGGAGAAGATGCTGCCTCTCATTGAAAATTCACTTGCTGCCATTCAGCTGGAAACAGGAAATGAGGGGTCATGGAGGTTCTCCCTCACTGGAGGCACATAGTCACTCGACGTGTCTCGTCTTACCTAGGACTTGAATGCTGTCATCTAGCTTCCATTCTCCATCCGCCCCAACCTCACTCAAGGCAAATCCTGGGGTACTTCCAGGCCAATATTGTTGTGGTGAATCTTTTGCTGAATGCTCTAACATCAGGGTTAGAACTCTGATGGTGTTGTGTCTTCATGTCTTTTATGATCTGTTATGTTAGCTATCCATGTGCATCCTTGCATCCTGCTAGGATTAAGCCTCTTAGAGGGCAGAGATTGGTTCAATCTGGGCAAGTGGATCCCATGATGTTCTACTGTCCACCAAATGGGATGGCTGTGATCATTCTTTGAATTGCCGTAGGACTCTGAACCCTACTCTACCCAGCTGCATTCGTCTAGAGGAGTCCCTAGGATTCCTGCCACCCAAGGAAGATGAAACTGTGAAACACAACTATGAAAGAGTTTTCTTTTTTATCCTATATTAGCATGTTCCTTTTAAAATTCTAATTCACATACCACAGAATTCACCCTTTTAAAGAATATAATCAGTGGTTTCTAGTATGCTCACACGGTGGTGAGACCATCACCGCTTACTAATTTCAGAACATACTCATCACCTCAGTAGAAACCCCACACCCACGAAGCAGTCACTCCTCACTCCTCCTTCCCCCAGCCTCTGGTGACCATGAATCTACTTTGTCTCTGTGGATTTACCTATTCTGGATATTTCATATGAAGGGTATCATATAATACGTAGCTTTTTGTGCCTGGCTTCTTTCCATCAGCAGAATGTTTGCAAGGTTCATTGATGTTGTAGCATGTGTGTCAGTACTTTCCTTTTTGTGGGTGAATAATATTACATTGTATACCACATTTTGTTTATTCATTCATTAGTTGATGGACATTTGGATTGTTTCCATTTTGGGGGTGTTATAAGTCATGCCACTATGAACTTTTTTTTTTTTCTCAAAAAAATTTATTTTTATTTTTTATTTTTTTAAATTTTCGGCTGCATCGGGTCCTAGTTGTGGCATGCAGGACCTTCCTTGAGGCATGCGGGATCTTTCATTGTGACACGCTGGCTCTTTGTTGCGGTGCACAAGCTTCTCTCTAGTTGTGGCGTGTGGGTTTTCTCTCTCTAGTTGTGGCGTGTGGGTTTTCTCTCTCTAGTTGTGGCGTGCAGGCTCCAGGGCACGTGGGCTCTGTAGTTTGCGGCACGCAGACTCTCTTGTTGAGGTGCGCCAGCTTAGTAGTTGTGGCGCATGGGCTTAGTTGCCCCGTGGCATGTTGGATCTTAGTTCCCTGACCAGGGATCGAAGCCTCGCCCGCTGCCTTGGAAGGTGGATTCTTTACCACTGGACCACCAGGTCCCCGCTATGAACGTTTTATGCACATGTTTTTGTCTGGACATATTTTCAGTTCTGTCAGGTATATGTAGCCGTTGAATTGCTGGGTCGTATGATAATTCTAAGTTTAACTCTTTGAGGCAGTGCTTGTGGTGAGCTGAATAATGTCCCCGCACCCCCAATATCTCCCTATCCTAATCCCCAGAACCTGTGAATGTTACCTTATATGACAAAAGGGATTTTGTAGATGTGGTTAGATTAAGGATTTTTCTTTCTTTCTTTTTTTTTTTTTTGGCTGTGTTGGGTCTTTGTTGCTGTGCACAGGCTTTCTCTAGTTGTGGCAAGTGGGGGCTACTCTTTGTTGTGGTGCGCGGTCTTCTTATGGCGGTGGCTTCTCTTGTTGTGGAGCATGGGCTCTAGGTGCGCGGGCTTCAGTAGTTGTGGCACACGGGCTCAGAAGTTTTGGCACACGGGCTTAGTTGCTCCACAACATGTGGGATCTTCCCAGACTAGGGCTCGAACCCATGTCCCCTGTATTGGCAGGCGGATTCTTAACCACTGCACCACCAGGGAAGTCCCCAGATTAAGGATTTTGAGATGTGGAAATTATCCTGGATTATCTGGATGGACCCAATGTAGTCCCATCTGTCCTTATAATAATAAGAAGGATGAAGGACAAGGCAGAGCAAAAGCAGACATGAGCGTGTAGTGCCTTGAAGATGGGAGGGGTCAAAGGCCAAGCAACACAAGAAGCCCCACTAGAGGCTGAAAAAGGCAAGAAAATAGACTCTCCTCTCAGAGCCTCCAGGAGGAAACAGCTCTGCCAACATCTTGACTTTAGTCCAATGAAACTGATCATGAACTTCTGACCCCTAGAACCGTAACTTTGTTTTAAGCCACTAAATTTCTGGTAATTTTTTACAGTACAAATAGGAAACAGATAGGCTGCCAAACCTGTTTCCAAAGCAGCTGCATCCCTGTACACTCTTACATCCTTACCGACACTTGTTATTATTCATTTTTGGATTAGAGCCATTTTATGGGTGTGAAAGGTTGTATTGTAATTTTGATGTTTTCCTAATGACTAATGATGATGAGCAGTTTTTCATGTGCTTACTGGCTATTTGTATATCTCCTTTCGAGAAATGTCTATTCAAACCCTTTGACAATTTTTAAAATCAAGTAATTTGTCTTTTTTTTTTTTTATTTTTTGCGGTATGCGGGCCTCTCACTGTTGTGGCCTCTCCCGTTGCGGAGCACAGGCTCCGGATGCGCAGGCTCAGCGGCCATGGCTCACAGGCCCAGCCGCTACGCAGCATGTGGGATCTTCCCAGACTGGGGCACGAACCCGTGTCCCCTGCATCGGCAGGTGGACTCTCAACCACTGCGCCACCAGGGAAGCCCAATTTGTCTTTTTATTGAGTTGAAAGGGCTCTTTATATATTCTGAACATTAGACCCTTAGCAGTTATGTGATTTGCAAATCTTTTCTCCCATTCTGTGGGCTCTCGTTTTACTTTCTTGATAGACTCTTTGAAACACAAATGTTTTAAATTTTGAAACAGTCCAATTTATCTATATTTTGTCTTTGGTTTGCTTGTGCTTTAGGTATCATATCTAAAAATCCATTGCCTAATCCAAAGTCACCAAGATTTATGCCTATGTTTCCTTCTAAGAGTTTTATAGTTTTAGCTCTTATGTTTAGGTCTTTCATCCATTTTGAGTTAATCTTTGTAAGTGGTATGAGTAGGGGTCCAACTTCATTGTTTTACATATAGATGTCCTGTTGTCCCAGCACCATAAAGGCTATTCTTTCTCCATTGAATGGTCTTAACACTCTTGTCAAACATCAGTTGACCATAAATGTGAGAGTTTATTTGTGGACTATGAAATTTCTACCATTGATCTATATGTTTATCCTTATGCCAGCACAACAGACTTGATTACTGTAACTTTGTAGTAGGTTTTGAAATTGGAAAGTGTGGGTCCTCCAATTTTGTTCTTTTTTTCCCCAAAGATTATTTTGGCTCTTTGGGATCCCTTGCATTTCTATATGAATTTTAGAATTGGCTTGTCAACTTTTTCACTAAAGGAAGCTCAGATTTTGATGGAGATTGCATTGATCAGTTTGTGGAGTATTGCTATCTTAACAATGTTAAGTCTTCCAGTTTATGAACATAGGATATTTTTCAATGTACTTAAGTCTTCTTTAATTTTTAAAAATAGTTTTCAGCATATAAGCGTTGTGCTTCTTTAGTTCAATTTACTCCTAAGTATTTTATTCTTTTTGATGCTACTGTAAATAAACTTATTTTCTTAATTTCAATTTTGTATTGTTCATTGCTAGTGTACAGAAATACAACTGATCTTTGTATGTTATCCTGAAACCTAGCTGAACCTTGTCTATTAGCTCTAAATGTTGGTGTGTGGGTTCCTTAAGATTTTCTATATTCAAGATCATGTCATCTGCACACAGAGAGAGTTTTACTACTTTCTTTCTAATCTAGATGCCTTTAATTTCTTTTTCTTGCTTAATTAACCTGTCTTGAACTTCAATACTGTGTTGAATAAAAGTGGCAAGAGTGGATATCCTGTGCTGTTCCTGATCTTAGGGGGGAAGTTTTCATTCATTTACCATTGAGTATGACGCTAGCTGTGAGTTTTTTGTAGATGCCTTTGTTAGATTGAGGAAGTTCCCTTTTATTTCTAGTTTGTGTTGAATGCTTTTCCTTTTTATTAATCATGAAAGGGTGCTGGATCTTGTCAAATGCTTTTCCTGCAGTTGTGGAGATGATCATGTTTTTTTTTCCCGTATATTCTATTGATATGGTATGCTACATTGATTTTCATAGGTTGAACCACCCTTGCATTCCTGGGTTAAATCCCAGTTGATTATGATGTATAATCCTGTTCATGTGTTGATGCATTTTGTTTTCTAGAATTTGTTGGGGATTTTAAGGTATATTCATGAGGGATATTGATCTGTACTTCTTGTAATATCTTTGTCCAGTTGATATTGGGGTAATACTGGACTCATAGAATGAGCTAGAAAGTTCCCTCTTCTATTTTTTGGAAGCATTCATGAGGGAGTGCTGTTATTTCTTCTTTAAATGTTTGTAAAAATTTACCAGTGGAACCTTTTGTATCTGGGCTTCTCTTTGTGGAATTAAAAAAAAATTAATAATTCAATCTCTTGTTTATTCAGATTTTCTATTTTTTTAACCACTTTTGGTTTGTGTTTCTAGGAATTTGTCCCTTTCATCTAGATTATTTAATTTGTTTGTATACTTTTTTCATAGTGTCTCTAACCTTATTTATTTCTGTTAATTCAGTAGTAATGTTCCCAATT